TAATGCAGACAATGATCATCTATGTAAGAGGAGGGAGGTTTCCGGAAACCAAGTACCGGTATGCGACGTTTCCATGGATACTTCTGATACAGCAGTAAGCTATAGAACCAACACCAAAGGTATGGTGACTAGCGATATCAGTAGCATCGACATGGCATTCAACAGACTAGCGTCTACATTACAGGAAGGGTTTAATTTGCCTAAACCTGAGTGATTGACATTTACCGGAAGTGCCATAGATTATTGTAAATTCATTAAGAATTTTGAAACAAACATTGAATCGAAGATTCTTGATAACAGACTTAGGTTGAGTTATCTTATACAATATTGTACAGGTGAGGCAAAGTCTTGTATAGAAGATTGTGTGTTGTTAGAGTCCGATGTAGGTTACACACGTGCACGAGAAATATTGAAAACTCGTTATGGTAAACCTCATGTTATTGCTAGATATTGAAAAATTAGTTTATGGACAACAAATTAAGTCTGGTGATAGTGATAGCCTTTCAAAACTTGCTTTAGATATGCAAAAATGTGAGATAACTCTTTCACAGTTAGGGTTTGTTTCAGATGTTGATAATACTGAAAATCTTAGGCGTATAGTTAAAAGGCTACCTTTACACTTAAGAACAAAATGGGTTGATGTAGCACACAACATTAATATTGCTGGCAGAGAACCAAATTTCTCTGACTTAGTAAAATTTGTAAATGAGAAATCTCAAGTTGCTTGTTCTATATATGCTTTAGATCTTGTTAAAGAAAATACACAACCCAAAGCTATTAAAGCATCCAATTCAATGTCTGAAAACAATAACAAGGCTAGATTAACGACATTTGCTACCCATACTGATACGCACAAAGTCCGAATTGAACGAAAATGTTATTGTTGCTTAGGAACATGTTCTGATTTGTCAAAATGTCAAAAGTTTAGCTTATTAACTTTGGCAGATAGGCGCAAACTGATTAATAAATTCAAACTTTGTTACAATTGTCTTAAAGGAAAACATATGACTGATACATGTTATAGGTAAAATATGTGTAATGTTCCCGACTGTAATGGAAAGCATAACACGTTGTTGCATAGTTGGGCGAAGTTTAGGTCTGACCACACAGTTACACATCCGTCAGTAAATTGTGCTGCTACAAGCGGCTCATGTGTCAAGGCATGCTTAGGTATTATACCCGTAGTTGTCACTAGCGAGAACGGAAGCACGTGCAAGACATATGCTCTTCTCGACGACGGTGCAGATAAGACTTTATGCGATGAGCGTTTTGTTACAAACATTAAATCAACCTGGAAAACCAGTGTCATTCAATATTGCTACCGTAAGTTCTACCGGAAGTACATTATCTGGACAGGAAGTAAATTTGCACGTGCGAGCTGTAGCCGGTGTCAATGATGTTCATCTTAAGAGTGTTTGGACAGTAAAGAGACTTCCAATTACAACTAAATCTGCCGCTAGAAGAGATCAAGTTCGTAAAATACCCCACCTGTCGGACATTGAAATTCCTAACGTTGACGTAAGTGGCGTCATGCTTCTTATTTGGACGGATACTCCGGACGCGCATGTTCCGTTAGAGGTGCGAGCGGGGGCAAGTGGTCAACCATATGCTGTTCGCACTTGTCTTGGATGGGCAGTTCGTGGACCAATTAGAGACGTTATTGACAAAGACAGCGCAGTTAACATCCATTATGTCCAATCTGATGACGTCACACTTCAAAATCAACTTGAATAAATGTGGTCTACAGACTTTGTTGATGCTATTCATTGTGAAGAAAAGGCTATGTCAGTTGAAGATAGAAAGGCTATGGCAAATATGGAATCAACTTTGATTCACGAGCCAGATGAACATTATAAAATGGGCCTACCATGGCGAGATGAACATACAGTGTTACAAAATAACCTACCTCTAGCACACATACGATTGCAGCACTTAAAACGAAGACTGTCACGTGACCCAGATCTTCATGAAAAGTACACTACGACAGTGACAGAATACATTGAGAAAGGTTATGCAAAATTAGTCAACAATGAGAACAACCCAGGTTTGGTATCTCCCACATCACCCTGTAGTTAATGAAAACAAACCAGGCAAAGTAAGAGTAGTATTCGATTGCGCGGCAAAATATAAAGAGACATCTTTGAATAAGCAACTACTTCAGGGACCCGATTTTATGAATAGTTTAGTTGGTGTATTAACGCGCTTTAGACAAGATAATATTGCACTTATTGCTGATATCGAAGCGATGTTTCACCAAGTGCGCGTAATTGAACGTGATTGCGATGCTCTGCGATTTCTATGGTGGCCAAATGGGGACATGACGAGAATTCCAAATACATATTGTATGCAAGTTCATCTTTTCGGTGCAACATCATCTCCAAGTTGCTCAGCTTATGCGTTGAAAAGGACCGCTGAAGATCATGCGCACTTGTTCGAACCGGAAGTCGTGACAACAATTAAACGAAACTTCTACGTTGATGATTGCTTAAAGTCAGTAGACAATGAACAGAAGGCAATAAATTTAGTTCGTGATTTGCAGTCAATCACGAGTAAAGGTGGTTTTCGACTTACTAAGTGGATCACTAATAGCAGAGCCGTTCTTGACACTATTCCTGACTATGACAGAGCGCAATCAGTAGTAAACCTTGCGCCAGGTGATATATTACCCTGTAACAGAGCTTTGGTGTTATCTGGAATATAGAAGACGACACGTTTACGTTTAAGGTGAAGATAGCTAATAAGCCATTGATTAGACGGGGCATGCTGTTTATTGTAACTTCAATTTTTGATCCGCTTGGGTTTATTTTTCCTTTAACTCTTGGAGCAAAAGCTATCATACAGAAATTATGTAAAGTAAAAATAGGATGGGATGATGAAATTCCCGCGAAATACCGAGAAGAATGGCAGAAATCAACCAGAGACGTTGTTGAAGGTGATCTCGTGCTGGTAGCAGACGACAACATGCCAAGAGGACAGTGACCTCTGGGTAAAGTAATGAAAGTAATAAAAAGCCGAGATGGTCATGTACGTAGCTGTGTGGTTAGGGCACGGGGTTCAGAATTAGTAAAACCAGTAACAAAGCTGTGTTTGCTAGAAGGTTCAGAATGGTAAAAAAGAACAATATAAATTTAATTTGAGCACGTATCTTTACGTAGAAAAGAATATGGCAATAATTAGCCAATGTTTTGTTAAAAATAAATCTCGTTTAAGTGCAAAAAAGTTAAACGTTAATTTACGTTTATAGAGTAAGATGAAAGCTAGATTTATATACATGTAATATCTAACACATATTTGTGTTGTTAATTGGAAATCAATTGAATTTTGATTGAAAATGCTTGTAATTAAGTTTATATCAATAAGTGATACTTTGCCTAAAATGAATTTGTTAGTTAATTTATTGAAATTATAGTAATTCATACAATATCATTAACAAAAGTGTATTTGTATGTTTGTTTATAAATTGTTTATTGTTACGAAATAGTAATTATTTCATGGAGGGGAGTATTAAATTCTTCTTTGAATTTATTAAGATTTAACATTATATTTTTTGTTACATAGTTACATTTTTTCTCTTTCATACATCTATTTAATTCACATAATATCGTTTTCTTATTTAATAATATTTTTGTTACCAAATTTAACGTTAACGTTTGGCGCGGCTTAATACGCCGCGTTACGTCATAATTTTATGTAAGCGGAAACCCAATGATCAAAACAAATTTAAAACGTTCATAAAGTTTGTAAGCATCACGACGATACATTTAAAACGCCGCAATAGTTGGTATGTTTATTTATTTGTTTAAAAATGATAATTTATATTAGGATTTTATTGAATGTATCTTAAATAAGATTATTTAAGTGTACTGTAATTATATAGAGCTCTATTTAAGTAAAATATGTTTAATTTATTTGAGAGGTAAATACAAATGTTTTGATTGATGATCGTACGTTTAATTTTATGTTTTGATATAATTATCTTTGTATTTTATGTAATGATTTATTTTTATTCTCTTTTGTACAGAGAATCGTTCCACGTTTGACGTTCCACGCTTGACGTTTCACGTTTCCCGTTAATAAACGCATTCTCACTAACACTGGCGTCGTGTGTTTATATATATTGTAGTATTTATTTACCTAAATGAAAGCAATTATTTGGCATATTGGCTGATCAATTCTATATAGATTAAAAGGGCATAATATATGAGATTATTTCATGCACTGTTTTTGTTTTGTTTTTGTTTATTTTTTTATAACAAAATCATGATTTCTTAGACTTTAAAATGGCAAGCACACTATCTTGTCCTGTAGCTGTCCAGATACTCAAATTTAAACAGCATTCTTATTTCAATGTTGCTAATTTTATAAACTTAAGCATTTTGGAGTTGAATGTTTTCAAGTTCTACACTAAGATTATTACAGTTGTTTTTCAGTACAAAAAAGATCTGCTAAATTAGTCTGACAATATATCATTTGCCACAATATTTAAAAACATTGTTTAGGCATATTTTAATGTCTAAAAAATAACCCTATTTATTCTTAAAATACACCTGTAATTATTGGTCAAGTATCAATTGCTTTAACAAAAATAATAAGTACAGTTGGTAAAATTTCAATGTCTGCAAGTGCAAAAACAAGAGTTAACAATTATGATTTAGACATCTTATATGTGAAATTCTGTTCAAGAAAAATGTTTAAGTATAGAATTCCGCCCATAGTGAAGACCATCCTTCCCAAGAAAATTTCAAAGTTGAAAATTCTGTCCAAGATGAAATGTTTAAGAATAAATTCTGCTCCAAATAAAATTCCAGCCGGAATTTTTCTAGTTTTCCGCCCAGAAAAGTGAACAAAATATTTTTCTTGTGAGACGGATTGACACGGAATTTGCGTTTCCGTTCCTGGTCCGCCCAGAAATCACTGATTCCGTGTCAATTCCGTGCCAATTCCGCCCAGAATCCGTGCCAAAATTTCGTACAGGTTTTTTCATTTTAAATTTATTACAGTCAATTCATAAATTCTAAAAAAGATGTTGCTGGCATCAAGAAGAAATTTTCCAACATAAAGCAGAGTAGTAAGTATTGACAGTTTTTATTTTTATATATTTCAGTAATTTTTTTAGCCTTATTTGTATTACCAAATAAATTAATTAAATACTATAAAAGATAACACAGTGGATGAAAAATTTAGAAGAAATTTTTTCATCCACTGTGTTATCATTTATAGTATTTAAAGTTAGTTTTTCTCTGGTTTTTTTTTATCCTTTTCATTATTAATTCCTTTTAACTATAGTAGGCTTGTCTTCTGAAATGCTTAATAATACCAGTATGCAGTGTATTGATTTTGACATTTTCACATTTGAGGCATGGAGAATACATAACTTAGGAATAAATGCACTGGCTTCGTAACCTCAGATTTTGCAGGGAGGCAGTTCTAGTTTATATTTATTCAGTGTTTACCTATATAAATATAGAGTTTTAAAGCTGAAATGCACCAAAAAAGATAACAAAATCATTATCTTCAAATATAATATAGTTGAACATAAACAGAAACAAATCATTATTTCTTTCTTCATAAGTAATATGCATTGGCTTAATCATGTTAAAATGTTACAAAAGCATTCATGTTGGAGGCTTTATGAAAAAAAATATCAAAATATGAACAAAGTAGAAGTTTTTATATTCTATACAATAGTACTAAATCACTATAAATATACTAATTTCAAGAAATAACAGAAGCAAATTATGACTCCTTCCACTGATAGAAAAAATTCAAGAACTTTTTCATGTATATACTTAGATGTCAAAATATGCCAAATTTCCTTTTTTTTCTCTTCTTTTTTTGTGAAAGAAAGATCATCTCTTGCATTCAAGCCAAACATCATTTCCTATACAAAGTTAGAAAAAAATAACTTAAAAAGCATGTATTGTGTAACACTGCAAAAACGAGTGTTAAATTTTAATATAACTAGTACAAAAAATACATAACATACTATATCCTTGTGCTAATTTTAAGTAAAAGATTATTTGTTCCCATAAGTCTGTGTAGAGATATTATTTGAAAACAATTGTCTGTTGTCACACCTTTTACAAAGGAACACTTTTCTATAGTAATCATTTTTATATACTTTGATAAGGCAGAAAAAATTGCCTTTCCAACTTAAACAATTGTTTTTATACCCCCACACAACAAAGTTGTAAGGGGGGTATACTGGAATCAGCTTGTCCGTCCGTCCGGCTGGCCGTCCGTCCGGCTGTCCGTCGGTTTTTTCTTGTTGGCCCAATAACTTAAGATTCCTTTGACCTACAGTCATCATTTATGGCATGGAGGTTAGTCAGGATCAGTAGATAACCCCTACTTACTTTGAGGTCACCAGGTCAAAGGTCAAGGTCACAGGGGCCTTGACTTCAAAAAGCTTGTCCGCCATGTAACTTAAGATTCCTTTGACCCACAGTCTTCATATTTGGCATGGAGGTTAGTCATGATTAGTAGATGACCCCTAATGACTTTGAGGTCACCAGGTCAAAGGTCAAGGTCACAGGGGCCTTGACTTCAAAAAAATTGTCCGCCCAATAACTTAAGATTCCTTTGACCTACAATCTTCATATTTGGCATGGAGGTTAGTCATGATTAGTTGATGACCCCTATTAATTTTGAGGTCACCAAATCAAAGGTCAAGGTCACAGTGGCCCTGACTTCAAAAAGCTTGTCCGCCCAATAACTTAAGATTCCTTTGACCCACACTCTTCATATTTGGCATGAAGGTTAGTCATGATTAGTAGATGACCCCTATTAATTTTGAAGATACCAGGTCAAAGGTCAAGGTCACAGGGGCCGTGACTTCAAAAAGCTTATCCGCCCAATAACTTAAGATTCCTTTGACCCACAGTCTTTATATTTGGCATGGAGGTTAGTCATGATTAGTAAATGACCCCAATTGACTTTGAGGTCACCAGGTCAAAGGTCAAGGTTAGAGGGGCCTTGACTTCAAAAAGCTTGTCCGCCCAATAACTTAAGATTCCTTTGACCCACATTCTTCATATTTGGCATGGAGGTTAGTCATGATTAGTATATGACCACTATTGATTTTTAGGTCACCAGGTCAAAGGTCAAGGTTACAGGGACCTTGACTTCAAAAAGCTTGTCCGCCCAATAACTTAAGATTCCTTTGACCCTAAGTCTTCATATTTGGCATGGAGGTTAGTCATGATTAGTAGATGACCCCTATTGATTTTGAGGTCACCAGGTCAAAGGTCAAGGTCACAGGGGCCTTGACTTCAAAAAGCTTGTCCGCCCAATAACTTAAGATTCCTTTGACCCATAGTCTTCATATTTGGCATGGAGGTTAGTCATGATTAGTAGATGACCCCTATTAATTTTGAAGATACCAGGTCAAAGGTCAAGGTCACAGGGGCCGTGACTTCAAAAAGCTTATCCGCCCAATAACTTAAGATTCCTTTGACCCATAGTCTTTATATTTGGCATGGAGGTTAGTCATGATTAGTAAATGATCCCAATTGACTTTGAGGTCACCAGGTCAAAGGTCAAGGTCACAGTGGCCTTGACTTCAAAAAGCTTGTCCGCCCAATAACTTAAGATTCCTTTGACCCACATTCTTCATATTTGGCATGGAGGTTAGTCATGATTAGTATATGACCACTATTGATTTTTAGGTCACCAGGTCAAAGGTCAAGGTTACAGGGGCCTTGACTTCAAAAAGCTTGTCCGCCCAATAACTTAAGATTCCTTTGACCCACATTCTTCATATTTGGCATGGAGGTTAGTCATGATAAGTAGATGACCCTATTGATTTTGAGGTCACCAGGTCAAAGGTCAAGGTCACAGGGGCCTTGACTTAAAAAAGCTTGTCCGCCCAATAACTTAAGATTCCTTTGACCCACAGTCTTCATATTTGGCATGGAGGTTAGTCATGATTAGTAGATGATCACTATTAATTTTGAAGATACCAGGTCAAAGGTCAAGGTCACAGGGGCCGTGACTTCAAAAAGCTTATCCGCCCAATAACTTAAGATTCCTTTGACCCACAGTCTTTATATTTGGCATGGAGGTTAGTCATGATTAGTAAATGACCCCAATTGACTTTGAGGTCACCAGGTCAAAGGTCAAGGTTAGAGGGGCCTTGACTTCAAAAAGCTTGTCCGCCCAATAACTTAAGATTCCTTTGACCCACATTCTTCATATTTGGCATGGAGGTTAGTCATGATTAGTATATGACCACTATTGATTTTTAGGTCACCAGGTCAAAGGTCAAGGTTACAGGGACCTTGACTTCAAAAAGCTTGTCCGCCAAATAACTTAAGATTCCTTTGACCGTAAGTCTTCATATTTGGCATGGAGGTTAGTCATGATTAGTAGATGACCCCTATTGATTTTGAGGTCACCAGGTCAAAGGTCAAGGTCACAGGGGCCTTGACTTCAAAAAGCTTGTCTGCCCAATAACTTAAGATTCCTTTGACCCATAGTCGTCATATTTGGCATGGAGGTTAGTCAGGATTAGTAGATGACCCCTATTAATTTTGAAGATACCAGGTCAAAGGTCAAGGTCACAGGGGCCGTGACTTCAAAAAGCTTATCCGCCCAATAACTTAAGATTCCTTTGACCCATAGTCTTTATATTTGGCATGGAGGTTAGTCATGATTAGTAAATGATCCCAATTGACTTTGAGGTCACCAGGTCAAAGGTCAAGGTCACAGTGGCCTTGACTTCAAAAAGCTTGTCCGCCCAATAACTTAAGATTCCTTTGACCCACATTCTTCATATTTGGCATGGAGGTTAGTCATGATTAGTATATGACCACTATTGATTTTTAGGTCACCAGGTCAAAGGTCAAGGTTACAGGGGCCTTGACTTCAAAAAGCTTGTCCGCCCAATAACTTAAGATTCCTTTGACCCTAAGTCTTCATATTTGGCATGGAGGTTAGTCATGATTAGTAGATGACCCTATTGATTTTGAGGTCACCAGGTCAAAGGTCAAGGTCACAGGGGCCTTGACTTAAAAAAGCTTGTCCGCCCAATAACTTAAGATTCCTTTGACCCACAGTCTTCATATTTGGCATGGAGGTTAGTCATGATTAGTAGATGATCACTATTGATTTTGAGGTCACCAGGTCAAAGGTCAAGGTCACAAGGGACTTGACTTCAAAAAGCTTATCCGCCCAATAACTTAAGATTCCTTTGACCCACAGTCTTCATATTTGGAATGGAGGTTAGTCATGATTAGTAGATGACCTCTTCTTTGAGGTCACTGGATCAAAGGTCAAGGTCACAGGGACTTTGACTTCGAAAAGTTTGTCCACCCATTAACTTAAGATTCCTTTGACCGGCAGTCTTCATATTTAGCATAGATGTTGATCATGACCATAAGGTGACCCCTATTGATTTTGAGGTCACTGGGTCAAAGGTTAAGGTCACAGGGACCTTGACAAAAAAGCTTTTCATCTCAATTGCTTAAGAATGCCTGTCCGCAGTGTATTGATTTTGACATTTTCACATTTGAAGCATGTAGAATACATAACTTAGCAATGCACTGGCTTAGTAACCTCAGATTTGGCAGGGAGGTTGTCCTTGAGCTCTAAATGGCCTCTGTAGTGGTATGCGGGGGTATTCACGCCATAATAGTGGCAGTTCTAGTTATACTATATTTTAGCCAAAGAGAAAATTGATAATGCTAAAAAAAGTAGGAAGAAGACTGGAGGAAGGCCTGAAGCTCCACAGTGCATTCCTGCAGAAGAAGCCCTCCTCCAAGTCACTGGTGACCGGCCAGGAATGGTTGGCATCCCAGAAGCCATAGACACTGATGGTAAGGTATATTTATAATATGTTTAGTAATCATGGTAATGGAATATTTACGAAATAATATACCCCAAACAGTGATTTTATTGCTTAATAAATAGAGGATATTGAATGAGTGTAAGTTCAAAACTGAATTTATTGCACAAGTTGAATAAAATCATATTATGTGAGTCTCTGGCGAGCATAATATTATTTTATTCAACAAGTGAAATAAATTCAGTCATGAACTTACACGAATTTAATATTCTATCTATCACATACCCAAATTAAGACGGTTTAAAGTGAAAAAAGAGTCATTTTTCATTCACACGCCTATAGTATAATACTAACATTTAGCGCGTCTTTACACTTTGTTTGTATAACGCTAAGGCAGCACACCACACTAATGAAGCCGCAGCTTCGAATGGCCAGGGAGGATTTCATGGATATAGTGACTTTTGTGGATTTAAATGACTGGTTGTCTTTAAAATGCATTTTCAGCATGAAATTTGTTTTTGTGACATGTAATATGATCATTGGCAAATGCGAAAACATGGTTAGAAATCACATGCTGATAATTATTGATGTCAAGGTCGCCATTGTTTGTAAACATTGCTTTTAAACAGCATGCTCGGTGAAAACAAGTAATTTTACAGGGGGGTACACACTTTCAGCAATAGCAAAATATCTACAAGGCCAAGCACCTATTTCTTTGTGATATTTTGCATGCATAGGGAGTTGCTAAAGCATTGACAGAGTTTTTGTAGACCGTATATTTGCAGGTATTTTTTGCCGGAGGGATGAAAAATGTTGTTTTGGGTCTCGGACCACTATAGATTTTTGGCTTTTACGGAATGAATTGGAATTTTTTTAACTGCCTGACTGTTGCACATGGGATGATTTCATTACAGATTTGCAATGGTATGACATATATGTTCTTAACAAAATGTGTTTTCTTTTTCCAGGTTGTGTTATTGGGATCAGATTTATCAGACATATTGCATGTAGGACATTGACGGCAGAAACTTGAAATTTAGTGTGGAGTGCTACCTAATGACATCCTTTTCCCTGATAGAACATGGTCTATATGTAGTTTTGTTCTGCTGTTTACCATGTGATGTTATCGTGTAACGTAATGACTTGAGATTGATAATTTTATCTGGCAAGGCTTTATCTAGCTGCCAATATGTAACACTCTTCCAAATAAGCGATCGTGAGCTATTCGGAGTTATCTTCGCTTACCGGAAGTAACGTAGATTGAGGACTTGATACCAAAACTAATTCAAAACAGAAAAACGTTAAATTATTCAATTTTAACCAAGGTAACATTATTTTTTTCTTACATTTTAACAACCTTATCATTGATTTAACTTCAAACAACTCAGTAACTGTGTTTTTTGTCGTTTTTGCAAGGATTCGTAGGCGAAAATATCAGTTTTCTTTTTTACTGACCCTCGTTTCGGATACGCAATAAATTCGGATAAAAATCTTTACGAGTGTTACGTACAATTGCTGTGTGTATTCTTTTAATTACAACTTAATACATCATTAACAATGTTTTTTCAATGTACTGTCTTGTTAAATTCAGACAGATCTGTTGTTTTTTATATTTGCTTAGCGGGTTGTTTTACCACAGCTAATTAAAAAAAACAATACAAACGATAAGAATCCTACCAGTAATTTACTTAAGAAAAATGTTGCATTTGCTAAATGAATCCAACATGATATGCATGATGGGCTTAAAAATATTTAAGAGTACAAATATTTTTTTTCTATTTTACAGCTGATATCAGGGTGTGAAAGCTAATTCTGTGTATTTTAACTTTGTATTAATTTGCCAAACGTCAATACTGACTACATAAATATTCATGACAATGGCAAGTGTCCTGGCAGATGTGGATACAAACAGAGTCCTACAAAAATGTAGTTGTTCAAAGGTATGATACCTCAAACTTTAAAATGATTTCCAGATAAATGAATTGACAAATCATCATCAGAGCTGCATCAGTACTAAGGGTGTAGTACTTAAGTACCAGTACCAGTACTTGGCAAATTATGCAGTACCATTACCAGTACCAGTACTAGATTTTAGCTCGGTACTGCAGTACCAGTACTTTTTTTGGTGAAGTAATTAAGTATCAGAACAATTACTTTTATATATTCATCAAAGTTGGAATAAATACACAGTGTCAAACAAATTATTGCAAATATTATTCAACAAAGAAATAAAATCATAATTTACATTAATATCAAAAATCAAAGCATTTTTTCAACTTTATAGTTTTAACATACTTTTTTACCGGTGTACGGACATAATCCCCTTCGGACAAAATCCCCTTCATGTATTTTTGCATATTCGGACATAATCCCCTTCATGGGTGGACATAATCCCCTTAATGTGTGAAATTTTGAAGTGGACAAAATCCCCTTCATAAAATTGCTACCTAGGACAAAATCCCCGTCAGAGGAATTTTCGGATTTTTAAGTAGGTATGAGAGCCACATACTGCATTATGCTGTGTAGTAAATATCTTAATGTATAAATGAGTAGAAAATATTTCAGCAGAAAAGCACATTCAATTAGCAACATTTAAATCACATTACAATTGCTTTGTTAAAGCATTCATATCAATCAATCAAGTAGTGCAGTGATCTTGGTTTGATTAAATTATCACTCTTTTGTGAAATTGTAACAATGGATAGTATTTATCAGTTACAATTATCAACTTATACAATCAATGAAACAATTATTGGCTACTAAAAATGTTTTTCATACTAATCAATTTAAAACTATTAAAGAAATTGCCTTATCAGATATGTGTTATGCAGTTGATAATTTACCATAATTTTAATGAAAACTTCTAAACTAAATAAAGGTAACTATTGATACATAATTATAAATAAAAAAACAAAAGTTCATTATTTATCAATTTTTAGGGATAATAATGATACATTATTCATCAATTTTTATGGAGCATAATAATACATTAGATACCTATGAAACAAGGGGATTTTGTCCGGGTAGTGAAGGGGATTTTGTCCAGCCTTGCAAAAAAATGAAGGGGATTATGTCCACCCATGAAGGGGATTTTGTCCGGGTAGGTGAAGGGGAGTTTGTCCGAAGGGGATTATGTCTGACATTCTTTTTTACCAACACTATTTACAACATATATTTATGTCATCTTATTGTTTAGTAACCAGTCAACTGTAATACAATGCAATCATCTTTCATTTAAAACACAACAGTCTTTTGTTGCCTTTCACACATTCACACCTCTGTTCAATTTACACCAAAGTAAATAACAACTTTTTATAGTGCAAACGATATCACTTGAAGTAGGATTATTTAGAATAGAAGCAATTAATTAGTGATTATTTTGCTCTTTTACTAGTAAATACAAAGTAACAAAAGATTTGAATAAGGATATTTTAGGGTAAAGAGTTATTGAGTCTGTTTATCTCAATTTAATTTTTACTTAAAGTCTTTGGTGCTTTTTTATGATGAATACTACGTTAACATTTGAAGGAATATTGCCGCAAATTATCTATAGATTTGATAACTTACTTTTTCACAAAAGTAAAATAATGTAATTTACAGCTTTATTTTATGAGAAAAATTGATGCTTTTTTTTATCAAATCCAAAAGTACTGTCTAGTAATGCAGTAGCAGTACCACTTTTTAAGACAGTAATGCAGTACCAGTACCAGTAGTATGAAAATTTTGTAAGAGTAATTCAGTAGCAGTACTTGCAAAATCGCTGCTGTACATAATGCAGTACCAGTACCAGTAATGCAGCTCTGATCATCATTAATGAATGTGTATTGTGACATTAAATAGCGGTATTTACATTCACCTAACACTAACCCATCAGCCTAATTTGATCACATAATAACGTTACTTGGAAAACATAAATTTCTATTGACAATACCATTTCGTTGGAAGTTTTATGTACAAATAGCATGCATATATTATTTATAACTTCTTGATACTTCAAAGTTATTACAAAGTATGTTTTATAAAAGTATATAAAAAGGGGAAAATCAGAAGAAAAGATTAAGGTCAAACTTAATTGCAGTACAATATTCATGTATATGATTTTCTCACCTTTTACATAGACAATTACTTTATACTTGTAATTGTAGGTTGTTATTTATCAATTTTATTTTAACAGCTGACAGAAAAGGACATACCAGGAGCAACATTAAGCACTGTACCAGAGAAATGCAGAGTGACAGACCTGAGGGTGTGGTTAAAGTGCCGAGGTCAAAAAGTCAAATCTAAAGAGAACAAGGCTGAACTTTGTGTCAGGTTTGTGAAGTAGTTGCTTACAATTTTTAACTAACTACATGTGTATATTAATGTGTAAACATATTCATGTATAATTATGTAGGAATATGTTTTACACTACAGTCTGTAAAGAATATTACTTGTACTGTGAAGCTGTATGGATGTAAATCAAAACTGAAGGACATTTATTTGTAGATCTAGATATGTACAGGCTGCACTGGGCTGGTGCAGTTTTGCTTGTTTTATTTTAATTGCTTTATTTGTATGCACAAGTCTTTTTGATATATTTAGTTTAAAGTTACTTATGCAAAAGTCAGGGATGACATGATATACATGTACCATTGACAGACAACCTCAGCAAATCTCCTCAACAGTTTCACTGTCAGCATCCGAGGGCCAGCGGCTAGCAAAATGGACTCTATATAGCTTGATAGACATGAGGTCAGACAACAGTTTTGATTCTTTATGGATTAAACTTCAAAGTGAGAGTGATCGCGTCGGTGTTAACGATACTAACCGATACATCTTAGATGAGCAGCTTCAGCTGCTACGTTCACATTTTGACAAATCATAAAATAATACTGTTACTCTATCCGACATTTTGTAATTTGCGTCAGAACAGTCGGTGCTAGAACGAGCACTGTTCTCTGAGGGCGTTGTGTTGTTTAAGATTTTGTTAGTAATGCCTGCTACTAATGCTACCAGTGAAAGGACAGTCTCGGCGTTCAGAAGAATTAAGACATACCTGAGATCGACAATGTCTCAAGTACGTTTGAACAATCCACAGGAACATGAAATTCTATCAATATTAATCTGTTAATGATAATATCCAAAATATAACAGTTTATTTATATTGTATAGGGGGTACATTTTGGATATTATAATTAATATTGATAG